CGACAAGATGACAGACGGAGTTCCTCGGCGGGCAATGAACCTCTGAATAACCATGACGCACGAATTGCCATCTATAGAAGGTACAGTTTCAATCTGGACCACTCGTGTCGTCATGCAAGTAAAGAGAAAGCCCAACAGTTCTCGTACCTCTTACGTACATAAAATGGACCCAAATAGTCAACTCCGCAGTAACAAAAGGCAGGTTTTCGGTACCCTTAACGATCTAGAGGGAGATCCAACATCATGTGTTGACGCGCTTAGCTTTGCGTTTTCGACATGGAACGCGTCTATTTTCGACTTCACGAAGGATTGATCTCAATTTCAAGACGGCAAAACGAGATTGGATGAATGCGGGCATAATCGAGCGACTGGTGATGATACTTGAGATGAGGTTGGCGAACGAAAAGTGCAACCAGATTGTGACGACCATCTAGTATCACAGGATGCTTTGCTTCAAAGCTTGTTTCAACAAGACGCCGAATGCGACCAGTTGAACTTAAAAGAACAATTGGCCCAATGAATGGAGAATAAACCGCTATTTGACTAGACTTCTTTACGGATTTGTCGCTGTCGAGCAGTTTGATTTCTGCCGGGAAAGAGTCGATTTAGGAAAGAATCGATTAAAAAAACAGGCTCCCACAGGACTCAAATCACAAGCCTTTGTCATCTCTAGCATATGTATTAATTCTACACAAAATGTGCTGAAAAATTGATTGAATTTGAATTTATTATAATAAACGAATTAAAACGCCGAAAATTGATATTAAAAATTTTATTTTAACATTTATATTTCCTGTTAGAGAACAATCGTCACAAAACCAACATAACTAATAGATTAGAAGCATAAGTAAATTAAAATACAACTAAAGCCGAACGACCGAAAAACTTAATAGACTCCTCTTAACGTAAACACGAGGTCATTGCAGTATCCACGCATGCTATCCATTAACCATGCGTATAAAACACTGGGTCTAAAATATACTAATTACGATTTGACCATTTTGTGAACAAAGTTATTTACGGGGAAAAGCTTAACACTCGATTGCAATACTCTTACTTATCGCAAGGGTGAAAAGAAAAAAAGCGGCAAATTTATGAATTCAAAAATTGATAAAAAATTCTCGGCTAAATTTTTTAGCGGTGGTGAAGTTGTTACGCCTCCGCCTCTGAATAGAAAGGTCGGATGTTCGAGGCCCACCATGATCCGCGCTCGTTGCTTGAGGGTGAGGCAACATTATCCAGTCCAGAAAAATAACCCAAAAATATAGCATGAAGTTTTTAAGCAGGAGCTGTACAGCTTGTATGTTGGTGCTTTCACTCGTGGCTCAAGTCAGTTTTCGAAAAGCTCTCTACTTAAAACTTGATCCGGCTAGACACTTATTTCTGGATCGGATGGAATGTTAATATTTCTGTGATTCAATGCTAAAACAAGCAAATTCACAATTTAGGAGCCACGTCGGGGAGGTAAAAACGACTCCAGATCCAACTGAGCTATATCGTACTATAACAAAATACAAGCTTTCGGCGTGGCGGGATATTGGAACACTGTTCTTATAATTACAGAAACAGCAGGTATCCAAGTACTAATTTTGCTGTAACAAGCGACGGAAAAAGGAAATTGACACCGTAAATATAATGGCAAGAATTGATGGGCGAATCGTCTGGTGAAAGCTTCAGATCCGGACTTGCCAATCCAGACAAATGTTGACCGAGAGTGTAAAAGTGACCCCCAGTACTCAGTAAATTTTTTAAAAACAAATCTGAAATAATCTTACTCAGATCTATTTTTCAGAAATAGCTTGTGAAATGTTTAAATAACGCTTGGATACTTTAAGGATTGGTTATTTCAAATCTAAATTCAGGTCTGAAAATTTCTTTTTGTTGGTTATTTCAGATCTGAAAAAATCTATTTCAGATCTAATTTCAGATCTGAATTTAGATTTTCTTGGTTATTTCAAATCTGAAAAATCAATGATTCGGACTCAATTATTGCTCTTTTTAGCTTCTGCTAGCAGGTACTCAGCAACGTCGCAAGTTGGAGACTGCCGAAGTATGTTTCCCGAAGCGTGAGATAAACATTGGAAACGCATAAGTAGAGCATGCTTATCAAAAATGGTGCAGGGCTTCTAACAGTTTTTGGTAACTTTTTAACACAGTTGACACCTAACCATAATTGTGTTGTGCAGAAACCTCAAAAATTGAAAATTCCATGTTTTGCACGAAATGCATAAATTATAAATTAACAAGGTATTTCTCAGATCTGATTTTAGATCTGAAATCTTGTAAATTCTTATCAAGATCTGAAATAAAGAAGTTCAGATCTGAGAATCAACGTATGTAAGAAATAAGGAATTTCAGATATTGCACAGAAAATTCCCTGGGTACGGGCCTCCTTATTTTGTACCAGCTTTAACGATTATTTTATAAGCCACCCTTTTTCATCAATTTCGCTTCTCCGATAGAGGAGCTGGGCAGCAAGCACAAGAAAAAACTCGACCAAAAATTAGACGTAGTTTTTTTATTACGAAGCTACCCTGTGCTTTTCGGGAAATGTAATGGCATTCCCCAACAAGGACGCTCCCTTCGTTTTTGTTTTGTTCTCTCATCAGTCCGACAAAATTTTATAAGATTTTTAACGACTTGTCTCTGGATTCCAGGAACATACAGACACAAAATTGTGCGCCTATCTAGTGCACAGTTTGGCCTCGTAATGTTTCTGCTGCATTCTTCAACTTTTTTTCTTCCATGCCTCAGCTGACGTACAAAATTATCAACAAGTCGTTTCCAATAATTTAATTCACGTCTGGTTAATTTTGTCTCGGCTGCTTTTGTACCGCACCCGACTAAAGTCTATCAAAACCTGTTTCTCAGACTCACTACGTTTTCCGGCCTTGCTCTAGGAGAACTTTGACATTCATCGGAAAAATTATATCTAAACCTAGTGTGACTTAAATTATAATGTCAAGAAATAATCAGTTTTCATTGTTCTTGCTGGTAGGACTTGCAGGGGCGGATCTAGGATTCTCTGGAGGGGGGGGGGGGGTTTCCAAAATTGAAAACTTTGACCAAAAAAAATCGCGTTTTTTGGCACGCTCCCCCCTTCAAAATTAGCATATATTGGTGCCCAAGGCGCCTTTCGAAAAATTTTAGGGTCCGTCAGCCAAAAATGGATATCTCAAATTAGTACAGAGGGGGGGATTCTTCGGGTCGGCATGGGGTCAAATTCCTGAGGGGGGACGCTAAATCCGCCCAACAAGTGCTAAATCCGCCCCTGAGCACTTTTATAGTCAAAGCCAATTTGAGGAGGTCCAATTTGATATCAAAAATCAATATTTGTATCTTTCGAAATAGCAAAGATGTTCCATAAAAAGAAACCGCTTTATGCTGAAGAGCAAAAAATTTTCAGACCTATTTCATTTTTCAAAGTCTGAGCTTTGCTTCATAAACTGGTAAAAAAGTTTATAGATGAAGATAGTATTTTTCAACTTTAAATCTCGGAAAGAGTTTTTTTATAGAGTTGACTGAAAAAAGAGATGATTTTTTTGGCCATCTTTGACATTTCTTGGCTTTTTCGATGCGTCGAATCTAATTTACAGTAACGATTTTGTAGAGCCTAACTTCCCGATCAGATATCTCGATATCACAAAAGTCACATTTCTCGAAATTTGTCTTCGAAATTAAAAACTCAATGTTAGACCAAAAATGGCCAATATCCAAAACAAGAACAACTAACAAGCCTTTCTCCAGTAATCAATCAGCTCGCAAAAAAATAATTGCTGTTTTGATCATGCTATGAAACTTCGAAACCTCAAGCTGAGCCAGATCGTAAATTGGTTTCATGGCCAGATCGTTTCATAGAACAAATCAGTTCTCGAAAAAATGAAACTTACTCTGAGCAAGCAATTCAAGCTACGAAACCTTAAATAAATCAAGTTAATTTCGTGAAGCGAATCAGAGTGCGAAAAATGTTTCTAAGCAAGCTGTTCAAGCTATTAAACTTCAAGGTTTCAAGTAATTTCATGGACCGAATTGGTTGGCAAAAACACTCACCTTCTACTGAAGCAAGCTATTGAAGCTATAAACAATTGAAATTATTTGTGTTGTTCAGATCAAAACAATTTGCGAAAATTGTTTTTTTTTAAGCCAGCTAATGGAGCGAGCTACTAGAGCGACTTCAAAAATCACCTAATCAAGCTATTGCAGCTATAAAAAATTAAAATAGTTACAATTTATTTATTAAAGGAAAGGTGTTGCGAAAATAAGTTTTTCTGCGCGAGCTAATCAAGCCATGAACTTCGAAAAAATCCAAGCGCTTCGTAGACAGAATCGTTTTTACCAAAAGTTGAAGTTTTCTAAGCAAGCTATTCCAGCTATGAAACTTTGAATTTTTTCAAGTTATTGTGTAGACAGAATCGGTTCCCAAAAAGATTAAGGTTTTCTAAGCACGCTTTTAAAGCTAGGAAACTTTGAAAAATTTCAATTTAGTTCGTAGACTGAATCAGTTCGTGAAACAATTAAGTTCTTCTAGGCTAGCTTTTATAGCTAAAAATTTGAAATAATTCAAGTTATCTATAATCTATCTTTTGTGGACTGAATCGGTAAGCGAAAAAATTCAGTTTTTCTAAGCAAGCTTTACAGCTATAAAACTTCGAATGATAAAGCTATGAAACTTTGAAATACTTATATTTATTTCATGGACCGAATCGGTTTTCGAAAGTTTTTTTCTCAGCTTTGAGGTTGCTGTTATCAGTTTCCTCGTTTCATTAAGACTTTCATTTATTATATAAGATTGGATATTGAGGATAACTGACTTTTTTAAAACCTAATAATGAGCGTTTTTGGCTAATTTACCATAAAAATAATTAATTAGGTGCAAATCAGTTTGCTTAAAACTGCTGCATTTCTCCAATAAAAAATGTCCACACACACTTGCACGTGCCAAAGCTGTAATTTTTCCATACAGATTTACAAGAAAAAACTAGCTGTATTTGAACAAACACTCTGTTTTCGAAACTGAATTACAGATATTTCACTCAAACTCAGATAAAATTTTGAGGCATTTAAAAAACACTATCTAGTTGTCCCACTTTCGAAGCGGCCGAAACTAACTATGAATCATAGTTCATCAACACTTGAAAACAATCATGAAATCATCACCAGAAACATCAACGCAGCTTCCACTACTCAATAGTTCGAAAGACATTTTAGCAGAATTTGAATTTATTTGATCTTGCGCGCGACACGTTTGATGCCTTTCAACTCATGAGAGAGCCAGAGTGCGAGAGATAGAGCGACCAGAGATCCACACTGGTGCATAGAGGCTGTGGATATTGGGACGTAGTTCTTGAGAGTCGTGATGCCAAGGTGCACCTGCAAGATAGAAGTTGTCGTAATTATTCTACAAGACAAAGTAGGCGAGTCAATTTTGAATCGGACTCTATATAGAAATAAATAAAGAAAAATTAAATAAATTTGGACAAATTTGAATTAAAGTCAATAATTTTTATATCTTTTACAAAGCAATATTAAATTAAATTCTCTTTTTTCTAAATGGACAGGTTATTTTTTCTCAATTTCTATCAATTTCTCGATGATGCAAATTTATGATGAAAAATATAACCAAAGTGGTCTACGACAAAACACTTAACTCGTTTCAAACTCTTAACTAGTTTCAAAACTAGTGAATCATAAATGACATGGTCTCTTTTGAGATTTATTTTGAGCGATAAATTCAATTAGCCTTAAAGTTAAACTCACACATAAGAATTGTAGAGCCAATTTTTAAAACATAATGCAATAAACAATACAATACCTGGAAAAGTGCCATAGCCATCAGACAACTCGCAGCAAGCTTCGCTCTTTTCGGAAGAGGTGTGAATCTCGACATAATCCACGTTGAAGAAATGATAGTCAAGGTGCTCATTCCCAAAATTCTGTGGTCAAACTGGACGGTTGTTGAGTTCTCGAAGAAATTCTTCCATTTGGGGTCAAAATCCAAAATCTCTGGCGGCACCCAGAAATCTCCCATTTTAGGGAACGAGTTGTAAATAAGTCCAGCGTCCAAACCGGCAACAAAAGCACCAGACATAGCTGTGATGAAAACCATGGCTTTACTGATATGGGCCAAAATACGGAGTCGTTTTAGGTTCTTGTGGGATTCAAACAGAAGGTCTCTTTTCAAGTGACTCATTGACGTCCAGAGGAATCCGGAGTACAGAAGGAAAGCGAGGAATAAGTGACCTATACAAACAAAATGTTCGGCATACAAAAACCACCCGTGTACAAAAAAAATGATCGTTACTCGGGTTAGGATTATCTACAACTAATTTTTGATGGTGGATGGTAGCATTTTGAAAATCCTTCTGAAGATTGAGAAGTCTAAAGTTGACACAGAGTCTAAGTTTGAGAAAACTGGACCAATAGGTAACGTGTAACGCTGCGCAATAGGTAACGTGTAACGCTGCGAAATCTGATAATTTAAATCCACTTTCGAAATAAGAAGTCGATCACGTTTATCGTGACCTTTATACCTCAACTGTTCGATAGTGAAGTTTGCCTTCCTTTTAACAACGAAACTGAACTGAACTTAAAAACAAATCGAAATGAAACAGCGAAAAATCAAAATTGAGCGGGAACAAACTAAGACTCTTTCCTGAAAAAAAAAGTATTAAAAAAAATAACCGAGACCTACATAAGAGTATTCACTACGTTCATGACTCTTAATGATAAAAGAATGTTCGCAATGCAATTGTTAAGTTTCACATTGAAAATTAGAGATATGTTAAGAAATCACCATACTTAATTGTATACACAACACACTAGCAACTTAAAATACGCTATATCTAAATAGAATCTCGATCTTACCTGCGAGTCTGTACTGACTAACACGTGGCATATCTGTGTCTCTCTCTGGTTTCTTCAGCCCACTCTTAACCATGTACCACCCGTAGCCCCCTTGCGCCAGAAGGAGGCAACAGAAGGCTCCATGTCGCTTATAATCTATGCAAGAAAATAGCCATTGACTTTAGTCTTTATTGACGAGAGAAGGAGTTTCTATCAATACATCAACTACCAGTACCAACTGTGTTCGCAAAGAGTTAAGTTACCGCAAATCTAACTGAGGTTAAAGGAAATATGTGATGAAAAATGGGTTACTAACTATTTTATAACCAGTTCATGATCCGGTGGTCTCTATTGTGTTCATGATCATGAACCGAACAGCCTATTTAACTGACACAGCCTAACTACGTGGCGTTTTTTAAAAGTAATCTTTAACAACAGAAACAATCGAGCCATATATACGTTATCTTCAAACGTCATTAGCGTCTAAACGTATTTTTTGATTTTTAATTATTAGGCCACTGCCAAGGTTGGATGGCTAAGCATCTAAACATCGTATGTTTTGATGTTCTTTAAAATTACTTCAGAAACTATCCCGGATCCTTAACAGTAAACATTGAACGCTTATCTTCCGTCAAGAGAACTAACTTAAATTATTTTTTATTTACAAGAGACATAGATTCATGTAATATATAACATACAGGTTAACATATGGCAGGTGGATAGAATAAAAGCAACCTGTTTTGGCTATTTTGCCTCTTGCCACAAAATATGCCAGTGGAATGAAATAGGCCAGGCCAATGGCTCTCCCCCACATGCGATGTGCCCACTCCATGTAGAAGATACGTTTGAAGTCTTCCAGGGTGAAATGGGAATGCAGTGCTTGGAACTCTGGGGACTGTTGGTATCTTGAAAACTCCTCCTCCCATTCCTGTTAACAGAGCGACAGAAAAATTTCAAGGAATATTTAACAAAGAATCATTAATTAACATTATCATATATTCATTACTCATTACCAATTACTAAAGGGTAACAATATTCACACAGATTCGAATCGCAAACACAAGCAAAAAATAACAAACGGTGTACTTAAATCTAAGAGAAAAAAAAACAAAATACGAAAATAAGCCTGAACTAGAAATATTTCCCCTGAAAATGTGAGCTGGTATAGTACAGGGATCCTACTTGCTGGTTAGAAGGTGGTTTCATCTCCTTGATGAGTGACCAATTGACCATTGAGAGTCCACTCTCTGTCAGTCGAGTGATTCCTCCCAGGAGCACGGCACCTGCTACCATGCCACTGCATCCAGCTAGCCATAGACCTGAACTCATCCGAATGAACACAGTTTTTTAAACAAGCCCCGACCCAACTCCCACCATTCACCCTTGGGCCTTTTAGCCGTGGGGGAGAGAGATGTTAACCATTTTACCGCAGCCGGTCCCACTTTGAGGAGGCGGATGACACTGGGACTCCAACTGTCACCTAAGCGGTATTCGAACTTACGACCTTTGCGTTAAAGGCCGCGCGTCTTAATCACTCGTCCAAGTCTTCATTATAAAAACAATTCATTACATGCTGTTCTGACCACACAGCTAAAACTCGTATGAGGTCAATTTAGTGTATTATATTAAAGCCATATTGGTTGTAGTCTGTATTCCAAATAAAAATCAAAAAAATTTGGTTATTGAAACAAACTAGACGTCACAATTTCATGAACAGCTGACATCCTAAATTTCAAGACACTTGAAGGGCCGAAAAGGCTGGGCAAAAAAATCGATAAAACTAGTTTAACTTATATTAAATTTATCTATTTTTTCTCCTAATTTCTAAATCATTATGATTACCTTTTTAATAAATGCTAGTACAGATAAGAATGTTCACCATTAGGGTAGGCGCTAAGTGGGTTTGTCCAACTCTTTGCCTATCCTTGCTGTAAAATAAATGTCAAATTATTTTGTCTGTTATGCTTAAATGTATTTTCTGTTGATGCAAAATGCATGATACATGTTAGCGGAATTAATTCTTCTTCACTTAAACGTTATTTTAGCTATTTTTCCTTTGTATCTTTTAGTTTTCACCTAATTCGGTCGCCCTTCATTGCAAAAAAAACGGAAGATCTTATTGTTGTCGGCACATTGAGCTATCGGCACAGCAACCGCTGGATTAAAAGATTCTTCATTAAAAGAAAAAAAAGCCAGCCAAAATATTCAACAGGGCCTTCAAATTTTAAGCATTCTACTGAGATAGGGACCAGTTTTTAAGTTTATGTAAATGCCATCAATTGTTTTCTTTCTGTCTAGAGACCTGCTCCTTTGACCTTGTGATCTCCAACGTCCGTTCTGATCTGAAATAAAACAGTGCAGTAAGATTTCGATTTGATGCCTAACAGTTGAACTAAATATACAACTTATTCACAATCTTTTGATATTCCAAACACACGACATTAACATGGCGCAGCCAGCAGACAAAAAAGGAGGAGGGAAAAATCCATTAAACATAGTAGCATTTTGGGAAGCACGAACACCGGAACCTCCAGTCTGTTGGGAGGAGTGGATAATTAAGTTTCACTGGGGGATGATAGCAAAGTACGATATTGATCCCGATGATTTCTATTTTGCGAGTACTCTAAACGCGGCGGCTATCACGGCGTTGCCTGAAGAAGTAAATGGGAAAAACCGTCTCGAGTCGGAAAAGAAGTTAAAGTCTAATCTATATCTATGTATCGGAGACGAGGCGCAACGGATATTCAAAGCACGGAAACCGACGGTTGACATTAAAACTGAACGGTACCCACGGGTTCTAGATGAGATGAAAAATGTGTTCCAAAGAGAGAGGAATGTAACACATGAACGGGGTCTTTTCTACGGAAGAAAACAACGTGATAATGAAACGTTCGAAAAGTTCCATGCGGAACTAAGCGCTCTAGCAGGTAGATGTGATTTTGCAAATGCGGCCGAAAATGTTCGTGACATTTTCATTATGAATATGCGGGAGTCGGATTACCAACGAGAATTATCACGATCAACTAAATTACCTGAAGAAGTCTACCGGATCGCATTATCATACGAACGCGGGGAGCGCGCATACAAATCATATACGGGAAAACCAGCTTCAACAGCTCCGGCTATTTCAAAGATCAAGTAGTAGTGGAGGAAGCGGAAATAATCGTAGGTGTTACAATTGCGACGCACCAAATTTTACCCTGGATCACATTGCGAGCTGTCCTGCAAGGGGAGCAACATGTAACTTGTGCCGAAAATTGGGTCACTTTGAACGAACATGTCGAGGAGTTAGAAGAGGTACTAACCATTGGAGGGGACGAGGACGAGTCGGACTGGTTAGGGAGGAAAATGAGCATCACCAAAGTACACAAAACGTAAATGACTTGAACGAAGATCCAGTGTCGTGGGTCAATCAGCAGGGGTGCGGGGAAAATGAATCCATGACGTCGGGATCGGACGATTACATGGTAATGTCAATACACAAGAAGAGGAATGAAACCGAACTAAAGCTCCCTGGGGCCCGCGTGCAAGTTGAAGTATCAGGGAAGAAAATGTGGTTGTGGATCGACAGTGGATCCCCAGTGACTATTTTTAGCATTAACGACATAAAAGAAACGTTAGGTAAAGCGAATATTCAACTACAACCTTCAAAAGACGAATTCCTGGACTATAACAGGGGCGGGATCTTATGGGCACCCTGGGCCTCGAGTTAGTCCAACGGAAGAAAGTGATGGGAATCACAGGGGAAGGAATCAGCCAAGAGGAGGAGGAATATGACGAGTTGCAAACATACTTCTGTAAGTTGTAACCAAATTTGTTTACAAGGATAGGGAAAATCCGGAATGCAAAAGTAAGAGCTGAATTTTTTGACAATTTGAGGCCCATACAACAAAAAGGACGCAGGGTGCCAATCAGTCTACAAGATAAGGTGGATAAAGAAATTCATCGGCTGATAAATGAAGGGCATATCGTAAAGTTACAAGAATGCTCAGATAAGTATTTCGTCTCCCCCATCGTAATTACAGTAAAAAGAGATGGAAGTATAAAAATAGCACTGGAATCAAGAGAATTAAACAAGCAGGTACACAAAAATAAGTACCAAATGCCGAATATTGACGAATTAGTAGACGGAGTAAGTCAGATTATTGCGGAGAAAAAAGCGGGGAATGTATATTTTACAACGTTGGATTTCACATATGCGTACGGACAAGTCGCTTTAGAACAAAAAACAAGTTGAAGTATCAGGGAAGAAAATGTGGTTGTGGATCGACAGTGGATCCCCAGTGACTATTTTTAGCATTAACGACCTAAAAGAAACGTTAGGTAAAGTGAATATTCAACTACAACCTTCAAAAGACGAATTCCTGGACTATAACAACAATCGAATAAACATACTGGGGAAGGTAACAGTGATGATGTCATTAAACGGCTGCGCAGCACCAGCACAAGTGTCGGTTATATCCGGGAATCATCAGTCAATCCTGGGGCGGGATCTTATGAGCACCCTGGGCCTCGAGTTAGTCCAACGGAAGAAAGTGACGGGATTCACAGGGGAAGGAATCAGCCAAGAGGAGGAGGAATATGACGAATTGCAAACATACTTCTGTAAGTTGTACCCAAATTTGTTTACTAGGATAGGGAAAATCCGGAATGCAAAAGTAAGAGCTGAATTTTTTGACAATATGAGGCCCATACAACAAAAAGGACGCAGGGTGCCAATCAGTCTACAAGATAAGGTGGATAAAGAAATTCATCGGCTGATAAATGAAGGGCATATCGTAAAATTACAAGAATGCTCAGATAAGTATTTCGTCTCCCCCATCGTAATTACAGTAAAAAAAGATGGAAGTATAAAAATAGCACTGGAATCAAGAGAATTAAACAAGCAGGTACACAAAAATAAGTACCAAATGCCGAATATTGACGAATTAGTAGACGGAGTAAGTCAGATTATTGCGGAGAAAAAAGCGGGGAATGTATATTTTACAACGTTGGATTTCACATATGCGTACGGACAAGTCGCTTTAGAACAAAAAACAAGTTGAAGTATCAGGGAAGAAAATGTGGTTGTGGATCGACAGTGGATCCCCAGTGACTATTTTTAGCATTAACGACCTAAAAGAAACGTTAGGTAAAGCGAATATTCAACTACAACCTTCAAAAGACGAATTCCTGGACTATAACAACAATCGAATAAACATACTGGGGAAGGTAACAGTGATGATGTCATTAAACGGCTGCGCAGCACCAGCACAAGTGTCGGTTATATCCGGGAATCATCAGTCAATCCTGGGGCAGGATCTTATGAGCACCCTGGGCCTCGAGTTAGTCCAACGGAAGAAAGTGACGGGATTCACAGGGGAAGGAATCAGCCAAGAGGAGGAGGAATATGACGAATTGCAAACATACTTCTGTAAGTTGTACCCAAATTTGTTTACTAGGATAGGGAAAATCCGGAATGCAAAAGTAAGAGCTGAATTTTTTGACAATTTGAGGCCCATACAACAAAAAGGACGCAGGGTGCCAATCAGTCTACAAGATAAGGTGGATAAAGAAATTCATCGGCTGATAAATGAAGGGCATATCGTAAAATTACAAGAATGCTCAGATAAGTATTTCGTCTCCCCCATCGTAATTACAGTAAAAAAAGATGGAAGTATAAAAATAGCACTGGAATCAAGAGAATTAAACAAGCAGGTACACAAAAATAAGTACCAAATGCCGAATATTGACGAATTAGTAGACGGAGTAAGTCAGATTATTGCGGAGAAAAAAGCGGGGATTGTATATTTTACAACGTTGGATTTCACATATGCGTACGGACAAGTCGCTTTAGAACAAAAAACGAGCGAACAGTGCAATTTCTCACTCGTTGGTGGGAAATCCACAGAAACTTATCGTTTTAAAAACGGATTTTACGGGTTGACGTCAATGCCGGCGGAATTCCAAAAAGTAATTGACAATTTACTTAAAGAGTTCCCTCAAGCTAACGCGTTCATTGATGACATCTTAATTTCTTCAAAAGGAACTAAGATCGAACACATCGCGTTGGTAGAAAAGATATTTAAACAGCTGGATATTTCTAACGTTGCTTTAAAATTACGAAAATGTAAATTTGCGAAAACAGAGTGCGAATGGCTCGGATTTCGAATTGGAGAAAGTGGTATTACACCCTTAGTAAGAAAAACACAAGCAATTGAAGACCTGAAAACCCCAAAATCTCGAAAGCAGTTGAAATCTTTGATGGGTTCACTACACAGTTTACACAAGTTTTTACCCAAACTCGCAGAATTAAGCGCACCGCTGAGGCCACTACTAAGTCAGAATAACGATTTTGTTTGGACTAACGTTTGCGAAAATGCATTCAAACATTTAAAATCGCTGGTGAAAAATATTGTCGAATTACGACACTTCGACATTCACCGGGAGACTAGAATTATTTGTGACGCTAATCACGATGGTTTAGGGGCCGTGTTAGAACAGTATGGGGCATCCGGGTGGCATCCCATTTCGTTTGCATCGCGTTACCTTAACCCGGCTGAAAAAAAGTACTCCACGAACGAATTAGAATTACTTGCGGTAGTGTGGGCTACGGAACATTTTCGAAATTACATATATGGCCGGTATTTCACAGTTATTTCGGACCATAAAGCCCTGCTAACGTTATAAAATATATCTCCGAAAGGAAATAAGACGTTTTTCAGCCGACTAACGCGTTGGTACGATCGGTTAGTGCCGTACGATTTTAAAGTTGAACACAGACAGGGGTCGAAAATGGGAATGGCAGATTATTTGTCCCGGTTTCCATCTGCAGCGGCACCCGAGACCAGTCGTTACGATGAAAGTTTTATAGTAGCGAAAATAAAAATGATAAATGAAGCTCTAAATCCTAGGGCTCAAATGAAGCCTAGGGGTCAAAATGTGAAACATCTAAAACCAATACCGGTGGTAGAGGGCGATCAGTCATGTCCTGACATAACGACAATTGTCGCATCCAATGGGAATACAAGAACAATTGAATATGCAAATACTCACAGTGAGAGTAAACGCTCTCGTTCTCGCTACGCAATTTCAAGTCGCAAAATACAAGATATGAATAACATGATTAGTAAAAACTCAATAAATTCACCTGAAAAACATGATCAAATTACCTTTGCTATTGTAAATACATCAACCAATTCTGGAGACGTTAACCTTAACCTTGTGCTTAATCGTTTAAATCAACCCCCCAGTCTTAGTTCTGTCAGTTCGGACTCGGATATTGAGTTAATACCGCCCGAAAATATCGATAGAAAACAAACAAATTCGAAGAAATCCAACACTATAATCTCATTCCCTCATCAGTTCCCAGGGTTATCCTACCCATTAGTACAGAGCGATAAATGGCTTTACTCCATCGTACCGTCGGACAGTAAAGTTGTCAGAAAATTGGAACATCCGGAAATTTTGAGTTTAAAGTTAGTCGAGGCTAATCTGGAGAAGGACCCCATTATGAAGACCATACGTGACGCTATCAGAGACAGAAACCCAAGAGCCAGAGAAATCATCACTAAACTAGGACCATATTACGCCCAACACTATAATGACTTCGCAGTACGGGAAAACTGTCTGTGGATGGACGGCCGGTTGGCCATACCCAAGGACATGTCTTCAGCAATCCTCAACCGCCTACACTTTCAGCACCATGGACGAGACAAGATGTTCGCTGCCGGACAGGATGTGTGGATCCCTTTGATGCACCGAAATATTGCCGCAACAGCGAAGTACTGTAAAAGCTGCGTAGAAGCAGGTAAAAATCTCAAACCAGATATCCCGAAACGTGATATTGGGGAAACGTATGTACCTAAAGAACCAAATGATTTGGTCCAATTAGATTTCTGGGCCTAGTCAATTATGTAAGGGGTAGGAAGAAATATGTACTCGTAGCAGTAGATACTTTTTCGCACTGGCCGTCAGCATATATATGTTCAAGTAACAAATCTAAAAATGTATTAAAGTTCCTAAGGAAGTACATAAATACTCATGGACACCCAAGGAAGTTGCATATGGTTCAGGCAACGGGGTTTTTCTCGAATGACATCCAAAGTTTCTGTAACTATGAAGGCATTGAACTAATCAAATCTCCAGTTAAGGATCATCGCGCAACGGGAATGGTCGAAAGAACGATTGGGTCGATAAAAAATTACGTGCTCACGTATCTCCAGGAAAATCAAAATTACAAATTTGGGGAAATGATATCTCGAGCGCTCAGCGCTTTACGTTTTGTGCCACATTCTAAAACTAAATTAACACCCTTTGAGGCATATCATGGAAGAGAAGCAAATACGGCGTTTCGAAACTTAACAAAAACACCATCATTGAAAAATCTAAATTGGAACAATGTTGTTAACCAGAAGCTATCTTGTTTAGACAAGGCGAGTAATCTCCCTGAGGTGGAGCTGACCCTGGATTGGGAAAAGAAAAGCGACCTAGTATACGCACCAGAGCAAAGAAAAACCCCAAGGATTTTGGACGATGATGAGATAAATGACAGGGATCCAAAGGCCACGGAGATAGCAGATAAAGTTCCAAAGCAACCAGGATGGCTAAAACGGCACAAGACAAGCTCAACAACAGTCTACCAAAAGACGGGAAAAACAGACCCAAAGGATCCAAGGAGGTATAAACGTTTACCATTGAAAATCGATGAATTAACTGATCATACTGTGAAAATGGAAAAGGGGGCGTTATTTAGACGAAGTGGTGTTTCTTTTAGAACGGCGGCTGAGGAAAGCCAAATCAGGGATTTGAACGAAGCGTGCACCCCGGGTCCTAGCAAGTACCGAAAAAGCACCCCGGGTGCAAGTGAAACCGGAAAAAGCACCCCGGGTCCGAGTGTACCCACGAAATTCAAACGAAAGGCGGAAAAGGAAAAAATCGCAATGGGACAGGCGAAAAAAGCAGCAAAACCGAGGATTGTGGAATATAGCGAGGACGAGAGTGAGGAGAATGACATGAGCGATTGGACAGTCAAGGAGGACGAGGCGGCAAAGACTGCGGCGAGTAAGGAAGTAATTGAACCGTCGGATGCAGTTGTCACGCGAACGCCGAAGACCGTCGAAGGAAATCGGAAGAAAGGCGCAGAGGGGACAAGAAAATCAACGCGGCAGCGACGAGGCGTTGACAAGATGGGGGGTGTCATGATTCTTCGCATACAACACAAGTAACATGACGCAGATCGAAAAGAAAAACCTAAATGAGAGGTTTGGCAAGTTTGCCTGAAAACTCAAGTTAAACTGTTTGCCTGAAAACTCAAGTTAAACTGACAATGATCTGTAACATGAAACTGCAAGGATAACAAATACAAGTTGATAAATTTTATACAAGTTAAAATTCATTTGTGGTTGCCCGAATGAGATAGGGACCAGTTTTTAAGTTTATGTAAATGCCATCAATTGTACTCTTTCTGTCTGGAGACCTGCTCCTTTGACCTTGTGATCTCCAACGTCCGTTCTGATCTGAAATAAAACAGTGCAGTAAGATTTCGATTTGATGCCTAACAGTTGAACTAAAAATACAACTTATTCACAATCTTTTGATATTTCAAACACACGACTTTAACACTACTGTCGATGAATCTTCTTGGAATAGTTTTTTAATTTTTAATTCCAATTTCAATATTTTTCGGGGCCGACAAAAATAATGGAAAAAAACGGATCTACTAAACAATCTCCCATTCAATAAAGGTGGATTGATAGGTACATTAAAAAAGCGAACTTTTGCACAAACAAAATGCAGCAAAATTAGATTTTTAACTAGATTTAAAGGATTTGGTTACAGGGATGGAGATTCTTTTGTACACACTATAGCGGATGGGGGAAGTTGATCCGAAAAAAATATATATATTGTTCAGCTTTTGGGGATAGCATCAATTGCGATCAGACCAGATACATTCAGTTATTCGATTCACTGTAACAGCATAAATCACAAAGATTACTGGTTACTAGAACCTACTAGCTTTCTGATCAAGATTCCTGGATTGAACTTAGATCCTTGTCAAAATTGGCTGAAAAAAAACCACCCGAACCCAAAATTCCTTCCCACCCCCACTTCAAAAGTGGGCGGATCAACAATCAAAAAAGACAAACCTACACTTCTGCTTTTTGCAGACTGTACATTCTGTACTGTGGAACAAGTCCTCGTCTTAGGTTGTAGAAAAAGCAACTGACTGAGCCGCTGTTTAGCAGGTATTTGAGGATGTCTCATGGCTCCCCGGCAGAGCAGACTGCCGCCGAAACGCATCAACATCACTGCTCTGAAGATTAAAACGCTGCTGTGATTGCACGGTAATTTTCAAACAGAAAAAAACATTCGATTATTAATGCTCTAGCTAAGCTTTCCCAAGAGTCTCGGGAAGTTAAACCAGAAGTCATGGCACCCCCTGACATGTTCGTCTATGAAAAGTTCCCCATTTGGAGCCGCAATTTCATAACTCCTTTTTCGGAATCATTTTCAATTTGCAGTATCGTATAAAAAAATGAAGTGCTGCATATTTTCATTTCATTTTTACGCTTCACCTAGATTTACAAAATCCGCAAGATTTCAAAAATCGTGTATGAGTAAAATTAAGATGGGAAAACCAACTCGTTAATTTCTTCAAATATTCTGTGAGTAAATCTTCCACAGAAACAACAAAACAGAGAAATAATGAACTTTAATCTCATATAAACTACTTCGGTACCCAGCGTGCCAATGATACTTCACATACGTCAAACTGATCCAGGTTAAACTTAGGTCTATTATCAGTCAAAGCAGTTACTTTACACAGAATCAGATCCTTGTTGGTAACATTCAACACTCTACATGTAGCAGATATATCCTTCAGTTTGTAGGTGTAATCAATTAAGCATCTTTTCCAAGAATTATATTCGAGGCTGGCATCGCAGTTTGATTTTTTCTGAACACAAAAATTGCACAATTTAGTCTTATCGTGGTCGTTTTGAGGTCCATTTGATTTGCACTGAACAATAACTCCGTAAGCAGAGTGCGTATAAGAAGGCCCGTCTTTGTAGAGTAGAAAGTCACATCCAAAACTCTGACCTGGCCGAACTATCCAACCTAAAGAAAAATCACATCACCACTTCAATGAATTTGATCATGAGAAATAAAACGAAAGACGCAAATTATAGAAGTATAGTTTCCGGTTAAAGGACACTTGCCATCGCTTGTTCAAAAGTTTTGTTACAAGCTCAAAAAGAACGACATAAATACAACCAAATTCTGCAAATTTCAATGAAAATTTTACAGAAATTAGCTTTCTCAAATAAATTTAAGGTACAAGTATGATAGTTGGGTCCCTGAAAAAGAAAGAATAAAAGATGGGTCCAGCAATTTTCGAGAAAGTTTCGAAAACACAAAACAAATTCTCAGTTTCGGAAGATTTTAAGCACAAAAAATTCTTCAAGGATCTATCTTTACTTAAGGGACCCAACTATTATACACCTAGGGGAATGTGATGCTCAGAATTTAATAATTTAAAAAAATTGGGCTCTTTCCTTTTCCCCCACCTTCAAATTTTTACCAGTAAAATTATTGTTCGCATTATGCGATTGTTATGAAAATTGACATCCGGGATACTTAAACCATGATAAACATATTTGGTATCCATGCTTAACCTTGTAAAATTACTCGTTATACCTACCATAAAATTGACGCGCATGATAGGTGGAGGAGGAGAAAAAAAAGAGCCTAAAATTGCCCAAGGTTTCAGTAGCGGATATAGAACAGACCATGTAGTCAGAGAAAAATCATGCAAAATTTGTGGAGATGTGGGGGATCGAACCCCAGACCTTCCGCATGCAAAGCGGACGCTCTACCACTGAGCTACATCCCCTGTTATCTTTATCGCGATCTATTTGGATTCGAATTGTTTTGCAGTGCAAAATGTATTCCAATTTTGTTTTTAGCAACAAATCTGTACTGTTTCCGAGTTACGTGTTAGACGGATATTTCCACTCCATTTCGTCTGCTCCAGCATTATGCAAATATGCTTCTGGCCTGTAACCACCATAACACAGTTCCGTATATTTCAGTTATGAAATTACTGCCACTGAAAATGCACCACGAGTACGATAGTTGGCCCGGGTCGAAGTCTGCGATTTATGTTTCGACCGAGGCCGGTCGAACACATGTCAAAGTGCGACCGAAAATCCATAGCCGAGAAGGACCTATAGTCGAATTCAAATTACTTCCTCGGTCGAACATAGTCGAAACATAGATAGCTTGGGTCAAGACGGTCGAAACATACCATTTTTTGGTCGAGTCGGTCGAAACATAAATCGCAAACCTCGACCCGGGGGTGCCTGATAGCAAGAATTAAAACCCGCGATTAAGGAGAAAAATTCAAAACAATTAAACAATTGTTACCCTGCGTTGAAATATTTTAAAGGCAAAAAAAATCTTCAGGATCCATCTATATTTTGAGTTTTTCCACTTTGAAAAACTAATTTTACCTTGTCATAATGTAATAAAATTTTGCATGGTGAACAAACTAGCTATTGTTAACACATTTGTTCTGCATACCTTTCTTCGTAATATTACGCGCTCGACCATAATTACCTGTAACACAAACAAAAAAATGGAAAATTTGAATGAAATGTGGGGGAGGGGGGGGGGGGACAATGATACAATTTGATTTGTTGAAATAAAATGCGTAGTTTGAGTAATTATTTCAACCAGATAATGATGCACTCTGAAGTTGTTTTAGGCGGGCACTCTGAAGTTGTTTCAGGCGGAATAAATAAAAATACCCAAAATCTAGATTTACAGCAATAATTCTGCTGTTTCAACCAACTTTCATAAAATGACGAGGAAAAAAGCAAATAAATAATTTTTTTGTCACCTTTCGCGCGATAGTAGTAAAATGCAGTAAGCAGAAAAGCAAAACAGCACTGCCGCTCGCTTAACGTTCGATACAATTCTTCAACGGATAACTGGAGTTCCAGGAATCCCAACTGAGCCAGAAAGAAGGTTTCCAGAGATGTCAAACACACGAATTCTTTGGTTCTCTGGACTTTGAGAGTAGTATTGCCCGAAATGTGGTCATTCGAGCTTGTCTTCGGCTGAGCGATGTCGGGGAAGTCGTCCATCCGTCGTCTCAGAAACCTTCAAACACAACTGATGAAAGCACAAAAACTCGTTGAAACCTTGAACACCACCATAGTTATCACAGTAGCAGAAAAAAACTTAAGAAATTATGAAATTTTTTTGATTGTTGGGTCGTTTATGATGGGTCGTTGATTGTTGAGTCGTTTTATTATTGCCTGAAATAAAACACGAAATACATTTGCTTTGGAATAAACGAAAACTAACTTATCGATATCAGCGAAGTCTGCCGAACTCTCTACGTAAATAGCTTCCTCATTCGGATAGCCAGCATCATCATGGTCTTTTTCATCTATGTCGATTGTCTCTGCATTCTAAAACGGAATATACATTTTTGTAAACACCAAAAAAGCGGTTTTCGATTTTTGGAAATATTTAAAACCTTGTTTTTACATTTGCAGAATCTTTTTCTCTCGTGATTTTTTTCGCCACTTGTCTTTTCAGACAAACAAGGCACGAAATCTTCATAAGCGGAGAAAAATTCACTCTTCTTTGATAACATCACGAGCTCGTTGGCATTCAAAAGATTCTTTGGCATTGAAGACAATGAAAGTGTGACTGTTTTAGATTCATCGATTGATGAGAAATATCCGAACGAGCCATAGAGATCCAGTAGGTATCCAAACTCGGGAACCACCTTTGATCCCACAAAAGAATCGGCAGTATTCACAAGTTCGCCAATAAATACAAGACGCTTTCCATTGTAAATTGGCAAACGAGCCGGCACATCTGAGGTTTTGTAGTTGTACTTTTTGCGTCCTCTTATAGAGCTACTTTTCATGTTCAACTAGAATTAGCAACCTGTAATCTAATCTCAACATCGCTTAAATCTCTAACAATAATAGCCAGTTGTCAGCAGTTAGCATTGAATGGTAGCAGAAATATGGCAAATGAACTTGAAAAACGAGCTTCGAAAGCAATCAAAAGTCAAGATATATGAGCGTCAACGAAAAAAAGCACACGGCCTAAATAGACGTAACATCACTTCATCTGTTGCTTGAAAAACATAAGTTATGACGATCCGAGGCCAAAAAAAATCTTGGAATCCTCAAGCAAAAAATATCTAGTCCCTCAAAAAAAGCTTCAACTACTCACTTGAAAATGCTATCGAGCGTTTCAAACAAAAAGATCTGACAATACCTGGAATCGAATCCTCGACCTATTGCTTCCAAATAACGAACATAAGATACTGCCTGACATATGGCTGGCAAAACACATTGTATCACATAGAGGCGAAGCGAAACTTCCCACCACTTGCGATACAACACAAACATCAGAAAACAATTGAAAAGAAATGAAATATGTTGAAAAAAAACTAAGTGAACCAAAATTTTCGTGTCTTGATTTTTAAAAATAACTGAGGCCCGCCCAGGTAGAACTGGAGGTACGAGCTTGATATTTATTGAATTTTTAAAATGATTCAGGATGAAATGCATAATTTCAAAAATTGGACAACGCCCAAAACCTTTGTTGTTTCTCTACTAAAATAAGTGAGGAGTGAAAATTTTAAGAGATATTGGAAGTTTCCTAAGGGCATTGTTTCAAAAAAATTAAGGATTCGCCACTTCTGCAGGAGAATTTCTCGCAGACGGTTCTTTCGATTAAACCCTACATCTCAGATTGATTGGGGTAGTTTTTAAGAAAAGTCAAGAAGTTAAGGTCTGTTCCGTTATTTGGCTCAAAAATGAAAAATCGCACGTCAAAATTGTTATTTACCAAAACAACTGTGACAATATACAAAACACAAAACAAATAATAATCAACCGTTTTAAGTTTTTATTGAGAGTTTGGGGCGTGTTTTCTGTGCGAGACAACTTTATTCAATCAACTCGTTATTCAGCATCCATACGCTATCAGACCCTCCAATACAATTGCCATTTCATAGCATTTACAAAAATGTACCAGACAATTTCTTCAAAAAACACATCGGTCTCGGTCTCCTATGAAATTTGTGGCATCTTTGTCGACATGATCGCTTGAGTTAAATACCTGGTCTATCAGAATTCAAAGATACTTAAAGCTACCACCAGTAACGTGTATAATGTCACCATAGAACTTCCTTTCGTTGCTTCGTTTGCGAATGACATCATTTTAAATTTCGATGAACCGATAGTTAAGCTATTATGCGCACATCAATCAACAACTGCCTTCAAATCGTCTAGACATGTCTTACTAATTTCTAAATTTTGTCACAAAAAATCAACGAAGTATCATCAGCAAAGAATGAGGCTGAACTGTGCGAGATATATCTTGTTATATCGTTTGTATATAGTAAAAAAAACGGTCCGAAAATACATGCTCGGTCCAAAACACATTCGATATAAAGTATTGTCAGATTTTCTGTCTTTGATTTCAACATTGCAATCGATTGGAAAAACAGCTTCTCAGCAAGTTCATCAGAACACGCCGAATCCCAGGTACAGAATCACGTGAACAACTATCGAGGGTTTTTCCAAAAAAGGCAATGCTGTATTTATTCTCTTTTATCACTTCCATAAGAAATTCTGTAATTTGAACAATCGCACAAGCTGAAAAATCTGTAAATTTTGATCAAAAAAAATTTGGATGAGAAGTGTTCTCCAAACACGTGAAACTTTTGTAAAATTACATTTAAACCAAATCGTGAGCGAGTCTCAACAGTAAAATTAGTATTTGTGGTTACTAACGAGCCAAGAAAATCTTTACCATAAAAAGCATCTGCTAAAAATGTAGTTGTTGGTAAATCAAATATTTTAATTTCATTTACTTAGTTAATAATTTACAACTCTTGAGAAATAAATCTTCATCCTTACTGTGCCAGACATCAATTACTCATACTCCCGCCTCTTCTTTCCAAGACCACTTTCACATATGCCAGATATGGTGACGCGTATTCAAAAGAGTTCTTATGTTAAAGCTAACAAAATCAATACTCGTATATCTTATCAATCTCTGATAAACTTAATCACACTTAAATTATCCACTTGTTTTCACAAACTCGTTTCAAAATCTTATAGTTTTACTTATAATTTTTTCAACTAAAAGGTCTTTTTTGTCAACAATTGAATTCCAAAGAACAAATAAGGATAACTTGTTGCTGTGCAAGTAGCACATAATGTTCCAACCACATTCATACAAAATGACAAAAAGGTTTTTTCTATTCGAAAAAGTGTCGCTTTTATGTGATCTGAGAGCTATTCAAAGGCGTAAGTTAAGAAATTAGGCATAATCGACAACATTTGTCTTCAAAAAAAGGTTGATAAACAAAAAACTTGGAAAACGTTTATTGCCGAGAAAGCGCTAAATGAAACTTCCATTTACTACCAATGAAACATCAATTTTACTCTTTGATAAAACCAAGTTTTCTTAGCCAACAGGCGTAAAAAAGTTCAATTTTCATATAACGAACAAACCAAATCGTGAGCGAGTCTCAACAGTAAGACTAGTAATTGTGGTTACTAAGGAGCCAAGAACATTTTAACCGTAAAACGCATCTGCTGATAATGTAGTGGTTGGAAAATCAAACATTTTAATTACATTGAATTGGTTAATAATTTACAACTCTTGAGAAATAAATCTTCATCCTTACTGTGCCAGACATCAATTACTCATACTCCCGCCTCTTCTTTCCAAGACCACTTTCACATATGCCAGATATGGTGACGCGTATTCAAAAGAGTTCTTATGTTAAAGCTAACAAAATCAATACTCGTATATCTTAGCATTCTCTGATAAACTTAATCACACTTAAATTATCCACTTGTTTTCACAAACACATTTCAAAATCTTATAGTTTAACTTGGATTTTTTTCAATTAAAAGGTCTTTTTATCAACAATTGAATTCCAAAATACAAACAAGACTGCTCAAATCAGGGCGAAGCCCTGAATGTTCCGACTGCCTTTTAAGGTTTATGGAGCAGTAATAACATTAAAAAGTTCAATAAAATAAAACAAAATGAAAATTTTTTTTCTTCGAAAATTTGAAATTTTTATTGAAAATCATCCCCCCACACGCCATATAAAGTACAAAAGGATAAATTTTGCTCCTTGTAACACACCATTTATGGCAAATAAGCTTCTTTCAACCAATTTGGAACGATTTCTAAGACGGATTAACTCTCCGCTTACGCGTTAATAACGCGAAATATATCGCGCGTTTATTGTCTTAAATTGGCCAAAATGGCAATCTTTAAACCCCCGTAACTTTACGAAAAATGATCACAGGTGAAATATCTTTCAAATTTGAGCTCAGGACAACAATACCTTTCGAATGATATAAAAAATTCCGTCAAAAATGGCTAGTTAAAAAGTCGAAATTTGTCTGAAGAAAAGAAAACCCACCCCGAGCACAAATATTCCGTTACTTTCGTATCGAAAGTCGGAACAATAAGGATAGTTTGCTGCTGTGCAAGTAGCACAGAATGTTCCGACCACATTCAGACAAAACTACAAAAAGGTATTTTCCCTTTAAATAAGTGTCGGTTCCATGGGATTTGAGAACTATACAAAGGCGTAGAAAGTTAATGAATTAGGCATAATCGACAACAATTATCTTCAAAAAAGGTTGACAAAAATATCAGAAAACGCTTATTGCCGAGGAAGCGCTAAATGAAACTTTCATTAACTTCCAATGAAACATCAAAATTTCTTTTTGATAAAACAAAGTTTTCTTAGCTTAAAGGCGTAAATAAAGTTCAATTTTTATATAACGCACAAAACTCGATCGCTTTACTCGCTCGAAAAAAATAAATCAGTTGTTCTCGACACTGGGACAACATGATATATCCCTCGATCCATTCCGATGATTAGTTGTTGTATCTGATTTTGCGTGGAAAACAACAAAGAAAAAAAACACCCGAATACAAAATTCCTCCCCATTTTCAATTGTCGGAACAATGACACAATTGAGATATTTACATCTGCCTATGTTAACTTTCCTGCCTCCACTTCTGATAAAGGTTTAATATTAGGATGTACAAAACAGAGGTGTACACCACCGTGCCGCAGGTACGAACACCGGCACGAACACGTGGAGTTTGCGCTGTCGAAGTTTTACAACATGTTTACAAGTAAAATATTGACTTTTCTGGGCTTTTTAGGACTCAGTATCAACTTTCTCGGGGAACTAAAATTAATAAAAAGAACTTGTCTTCGAAATAATGGCTTTCGAAAGAAGAATTTTTGAAAACATTCAGGCAATTTTCAGACTTGACGTTTTTTCAACCTTTCTGAAGACTTTTGACACCAATGCGTCAAAAAAGCTATCACTCCACCATCGATCAAATTTACAACGGTGCTCATTTTAACTAAAAAATACCAGACCCCCTCGAGTTGCTCAAATAACATTTTACTTTATGCGAATACTTTGCACATGACTGCTCTGAAAACAGTCTAAAAACTTCATTGAATAAGCTTCAGATATTCTTGCTCTCTCGACCAGAAAAGCAGTCGTGTTAAACTGTTAAAAACTGAGAAGTTTACAAAAACTTATCATAAAACCAGCGCTCAGCTTATTAATTACGCATTAATCAAAATCGAGAAAAAGCTGCAAATAAAACTTGAATGCACGAGTATTTTCAAAACGGATCAAACGTTTCAAGAGTTTCCAGCAAATAATACAACTTTAATACCACCCGTCGACTTTTAGACATTTTTCAAAGCCTTTATTTTATTTTTGCCTTTACTATGGACGCAGACGCTGCCATCTCTCGGATTATGGAAGGCGTCTACATCAGTGGGGCCAAGGTTTGATTTTTGGTTTCAGTTTCGATCGAGTTTTGGTTTCATTATTTAGAGGAACGAACAATACCACTAGTTAATAATGGATCTATGAAGAAGCATCTCGTAATTCAAGCACTAACGAAAAATAACTTGGGCAAAGAGATATCCAAAAAATGTTAAGTTATCAGATTTTGTCGAAATAAGTGGTTGACTCGTCTGAAAATTTATCGGTGAATCATGAATACGCAGTCTTCCCACCCCCATCCCTACTTCTGAATTCTGGTTGTTTAAATTTTCACGGGGCTCATACGAAGAGTTATTTTATTCCATTTTTATTCCTCTTCACGGGGCTCATATGAAGAGTTATTTTATTCCATTTTGCTTCAATTTTTGTTTTGATGAATGAAAGTCATTTTGTAACGATCTCAGTTTTTAGTTAATGTGATTACGTTATTGAATCAATAATTTTCGGTTTACTGATGTGGTCCGCCTGTTTTCGTTTTACTGAAACATCGATTTACTGACCTACCACCGGTTTGATAATATGACATCCATTTTTGGTCAACCTAACATTTTGTGTAATCGCCTTTGGCGCCAATAAATTCTTAGGAGGGGAGAGCAAAAAAACGTCACGACCCAAATATTCGCCTGTGATGCAGAAAATCTTAGCAAAAGAGGGTCTTTTATATTGTTTAGGGAAGCCCGGGAAACTCAATTGGGTGGTTCTAAAAAAAAGTTGACCAAACTCCAAAAAAAATCAAGAAAAGGCCCCCAACCTCGGAAAACTCTTGCGCATGCAACTGCGCCACCAAGAATTAAATATTTTGAATATTAATTCTCTTATACTATTTTACTGTTTTCGAAATGTTAAAAAAAATCTTGCAACTAATGGGTTAAGTTAATTAGCTCATTTATTTTTAGGGCGCCACTGACCATCCTTTTGTTCTGTCCAAAGAAATCAAAATAATCCTCACTTTTTGGGACAAACAGCCGCCTCTAGTCACTCTCCCATTCTACCACGATGTCGACGTTTTCACCTTCAAACCCAAACTACCCTTGGCCAACAAAGGGTCCATTGTCAAATACGCAGACATTGTCCACGACAAAATCATACATGCAACTAAGGTTCAAAGAGGTTCAGTTTTGATGTGTTGCGAACACGGCAACAACTATTCAGCAGCATTCGCAATAGCATTTATAATGAAGCTGAAAAACTGGCATTTTGAGGAGGCGAAAAAATTTGTCAAAGATCGTAGACGGGTAGTGCGATTGTCACATGTTATGAAGGAAAGTTTGATGCAGTATGAACAAATATTGTTCCCTCCTCCGCCCGAAGTTGCAGTTAAGGAAATTATATCACAAAAAACTGAAAAACTTGATGACTCTGATAGCAATTGACTGAATATCCGTGATGAAAAAGTAGATTATTTACAGATTTTAGCTAATTTTGTTTAATCGAATAGCTGAGTTACACAATACATATAATATGTAGTCGAAACTACTGTTTTCCAACAGAAAAGACAAGTTTTAAACAGAAAAGACAAGTATTACAACAGAAAACACGGGAACTTACACGACGCATCTTATAAACGATTATAGAAGTTTGCATAAATTTTCACGCAGAGGCGAAGCAAACACAGCATGGAAAGCTGATAAAAAAAGCTTAAGTTCAGTTTGCGGAAAACATGTCGAGCAGCATAATGCCCAGCCTTAAATTAGCGGTGAGACAAAATTGACGAAGCGGTAACATTACTTCGGTCACAATCACCCACAAGGCATTCAATCACATAAGAATCTGATTTGGCTTCAAACCGCGATAATGTAAGGCGGAATCATTTAGGCCAAAGAACCTTTAAGGCAAAACTGGGAGCAGAAGTTTTACAAAATCGTATTATTTATTTACCTGCACCTTGACGAATGTTCGGTATGACACGCTTAAATGGTTAAAACTATCTCAACCTTCATAAAAATGCCATGCTGTGGGGTTAAGGCCAACAAAAATAAGCAAACATAGGCAACAGACAATTAAAAAAAGATCCAATGAACGCAAGGAAACAGAAAAAATACTGAGTGGTTTTTCGAAAAACTTTCAAATTTCCAAGAAAGAATATATGGCCGTAGAGCTTTTTGAATTTTAAGAAAAACTTATGATTGAAAATTTTCTGATACAGACGTGACAAAGCGAAGCTTCGCAACACTCGCGATACATTTATAACATTGCATACAAAAAAGGGAAAATATTTTTGAAAAATTATGCTGGAAAAATTACTAAAAAGTCGGAAAAGTTTGAACTACAAAAACAAAAACTTCATACCTTGTCTTGGATGAGGCTCGTGAACAGCCTTAGCATGCATTGAGAATCAATGTTCGAGTGTCAAATACGGCGAAAAAACTTGGGTCCACCCTCGCTCAGCCGAAAACGGAACTTAAGTTGAAAAAACTTTCAAGCTAAAAAATTTGTAAATCAAAACTTTTACGACCCAACCCTCCTGAATTAAGAAAAAGCATTTTAAAAACTCCACAGTGAACCTACGCAAAATAAGTCCAACAAGCCGATTAAAAAAAGCCTAACCCATTTAACGGAGAAAAAAAATATTAAAAATGAGAGTTATTAAACACAGAGGCGAAGCGGAGCTTCGCACCACTTACGAAACGACAAAAACATTTAAAAAAACATAATTCGAAAAAAAAACTAAATGTTGAAAAAAAATTGGTGAACCAAAATTTTCGTACATATAGATAAAAAACATCTAAAGTCCAGCTAAAGCTGGAAGTATGAGTTTTATATTGAATGAATTTGCTATACTGATGCGGCACCAAAAATGTGATTTCAAAAACTGGACTTTGCCTAAAACCTTAAAGTTGTTTCTTTAATTAGTGAGAAGAGTAAAAAAAAATTGAAGTAACCGGTTCTTTCAGTTGAACTTTCATCTCAGATTTGTTTGTGTAACTTTCAAGAAAACTCAAAAAGTTTCTAAAAAACGGTCAAAGTTCCAATTGGCCAACAAAAGAATTTCCCAAATTCATGAAATTTTCCCTTCATAGAGCAGGTTGTGGCCGCTTAAGCAGAGAAGATTCCCAAAACCGGTTTTCTCGATTGATCACAGCCTGAGAATTGGTACGATAGTTTTCGCGTTAAGTCGTAAAAAACCAGTCAAAGCTTCAAAACTTCGACTTGTCTGAAGGCCATATTTTTTTTTTCTAAAAAAAAGAGGCATCGTTTCTCATAAAGGTAGGCTTTTAACAATCTGATGTTTCTGATATCAGATTTGGCAGGATAGTTAGCGAGAAACTTGACATTTCAAAAACTTGACATTTCCGAGAACGATAGCTTTTTGTGTGAAAAAACAGGGTGTATTCGCTTGTGCAGAAGGAATTCACTGAATCTGTAAACTCGATTGAACTCAAAATCTAAGATTTGTGTGGGTAGTTCTCGAGAAATGTTGAAAACTTTTTTTAAAAAAGTCAGAAAATCAAAATTTTGACTTTTCCGAGGGCCATAACTTTTGGTGTAAAAAAATTTGGGAATAGTCGCATAAGCAAATGAGCTTGCCACAATCCGTTCTTTGAATTGAAACCAAAATCTCAAATCGGCTTCTCGAAATCGTTCTTTTCATTGAAACCAGAAACTCAGATTTGAAAGTCGTATCTTTCAAGAAAAAATTAAAAATATGGGTCAAATAATCCACCACAGACTTTTTCGAAGGCTTTAGACTGAGGGGTCAAGTAAAAAGAGACTCTAGAGGAGTATAAACGAACACAGGAAAGCCGGTGGGCTTTCAACTGATACCTCTTTTTGAAAATCAGCAGAAATTTCTGAGAAAAACTAAAATTTTTCCTTGAATTTGGATATCATTTTCCATAATAAAAAAAAATCAACGAACTGATTGGTAAACATCAACTAACATAAAAAAGCTGAAGGGAGTAATCAAGTTGTTTTTCCCTTGAAACGCCACAAAAATAGTTCATCAAGCTGATAAAAATTAGGCCGAATAATTTCAGCCGAGGAATTTATTTTAAGCGAAAAAAAAACGAAGGAAATATGAAGTCAAGGTAAGCAAAATTACAAATAGTAGGATTAAATTAAACGCTAAAAGCAACATAACAGAAAAAAACGCGCAGCAAATAAAAACGGTTTCAAGATGTGACAACTAAGCCGACATTTTAATTGAAACAGAACATTTCCCGTTTTAAAAAAAACATGTCCTGGTCAGATTCGCACCCTGAACCTTTGCGGTCCCAAGCATAATCGTTACCTCCAGGCTAAGTTGCCCGGGAGCGCATAGAAGTTTGAATTCATTATGAAGTAAGATACAAGCGATTCAAGTGATTCTGTTAAACAAGTTATTAACCCGAAAAATTCTATATTCCAGTTTGATAACGCTTGCAAATCGCAAGCGTGATAACTACAGAACAGTTTTCAACCATAGTAAAAAAAAAACTGATTGTATCAATAATTAAAACCATGATTTGCAAATAAACTACTTGAAGAGCGTAGCAGAATACGAAAATTGCATTTGGAAACAAAACGGAAAAGGCGACAAAAAGGACGAACACCAAGTCCGAAACAAAACTAAATTTTTTCAAAAAATACACTTCAATAAAATTAATTTTACCTCAAATTTTAATTTAACAAGGAAGTTGTTTTATTTGAACTTGAGTTTAGAAGCTGCAGAAATTCAGCAAAAAAATGAGCAGCAGAATTTGTAAGAAAATTGATAACGGTCAAAAAGTCCAGTTCCTGATTACTAGTGACTTGCTCTCGCAAGTAATATAAATTGAAGGAAAACTGGATGATAAGGAAAACTTTTCAATCCCCTGAGAAATCTGAAGCTTAAAAACTATTTCCGAAACCAGAAGTCGATCAAGCTTTTTTTAGACCTTTACACTTTGCTGTTCGATAGTGTAGCTTTCCCTCTTTCAACTGAACTTAAAAAAGTCAAACGAACGACAAATAAGTCAAACTAGCGTGTAAGGCATCTATGGTGCTCCGAACTTTAAAAACGCATAAACCGCATATATTGGATATAAGATCTGCATCCTTTGAGTGTACTTTGACAGCGCCCAATGACAGGGTTTGTAATTTCAAATTTTGTGAAACTTTTTTATATCTAAGTTCTTTAAAAAATTTTAAAATGACAATAACAAACTTCTCGAAAAGTAAAAGTAATTGAGCAGAAACTTCAAATTTGAATTTTCTAAACAGTTTTTTTTGAGAAACTTCAATTGAAATTTTCGAAACATTAATTTCTAAAAACCATACAAAACGACATATATCAAACAATACAGGGACATAATCAGTCATATTTGGGAGGCAAGATTTGTAACTCCCGCGATTACTCTGACAGCCCCGTACTACAGGATTGGGAATTTCAAATTTTTGAAACCATTTTAAATTTAAGTTTTCTGTAAAATTTTTTGAAAAAATCACTGGAAAACTACCAAGATTTGAGAAAAATATTTGGAGGCAAGACTCCCAATCTACAGGGCTAGGATAATCAAAGATTGAAGAAAAAAGCAAGAGTTATTGAAAAAATCACATAAAATATCATATCCCGAAAACTACGAGGATTTGAGCAGTCATACTTGGAGGCAAAATTCGCAATTCCTGGGAGTACCTTGACAGAGCCTCTTTATAGAGATATGAACTTCAAATTTCTAAGTTCTTTGAACAATTTAAAAAAGACTAAAAAACGTCACATCTCGGAAACTAAAGGCATTTGAGCAGTCGCATTTGGACACAAAATTTACAATTTAGAACTCGGGAGAGCACCCTTGCAGTACGCAAATACAATTTGGGAATTTCAAATCTTTTGAATTCTTAAAAACTAAGTGTTCTTAATAATTGAAAAGAAATCAGAAAACATGACATATCTTGAAAGCTGAGAAATTCAGCGTTTGCGACCTTTTGTTAATTCAAGTTTAATTAAAATTTTTGAAAAATCAAAAAAATGTATCTCGTAAACTAAAAGAATTTGGGAGTTCAATATTGGAGGCCGAATTCGCAACCCCTGGGGGAACCCTGGCAGTATCCCATTATTAGGTTGCTAATATCAACACTGATGAAATAATCCTTAAAATGAAACTGGAAAAGCGAAAAATATTTTAACCATTGCAATGTACGATATAGCTTTAACGCGAAAAATTCTTTCGTTAAACATGCAAAAACAATACGCTGAAGAAGTTTAAACATGGCGAGATAGCCCGCAATTAAAAACATAATAATCATTTTAGTATGAACAAACTGTTAGACTTTTCCTGAAAAAACGAGCCCAAAAAAAACCGTCGAGACCTAGATAAGAGCCTTCATTATGTTCAATGACTCTTAAAAATGATTCATGGAGTTTGAATTTATAACACTGCAACTCCGCAAACCAAAGCGAAGCGAACAAGCAGCAAAAGTGAGCTTTAAAACGCAAAAACAAATAAACCGCTAATGCACGCTTTGCCGCTCAAACAATATTTGCGTGTAAATTTAAATCATGTAATGTATATTTTTTTCTTGACCCCCCTATCAGCTTTCTTTCGGGTAGTCAAACTGGCTAGAAAACACCGACTCAAATCAAAAGCTCCTTCCCACTATTCGAGATACACGGCCTACACAAGTGAAAATTCACATCATTCATGAACCGTTATTCACCTGTAGCATTAGCATTCTATTCCTTTATTCAAAGTCGGATACATAAAATTTACATAAACAAATCATAAATTTTTATCAACGGCACTGAGATTCCGTGGTAAAACACCTAAATCAGATTTTTCACCATTCTTAACTAAATACCTGTTTTCATGTTTTAAAAAAATAATTGTTGAACTCTAAATTATACAGTCATCCACACTATTCTTCAAGATGGCATGGTAATTTGTCAGTAGTTTCAGTAAAATACAATTTAATCCAATGCTCGTTAGTCGGTGTACATTGATTAAATCTTCGGGCGTGCCAGTGTTTTCATTTTATTCACCCAACAATCAATTTGTCACCCTCGTGAGAGTGCTCCGGTACTTCGAGGTTAAGCGGAGCTGGACCTTGTCTGATGCGACCGGAGGTGTCGTAATGAGATCCGTGACAGGGACAGTAGTATCCTCCGTAAGAGCCCTGACCTGCTATCGGGACACAACCCAGGTGAGTACACACTCCAAGCACCACCAACCTGAACATAAAACTTAACTTCAGATTGGCTCATTATAGGAGTCCAACTTTAGCTCTGGGTCTCCAAATTGCAAAAGGGTTTAATTATTCCAGCAACCAAGAATGTATACATCGAGATTGTACAATTAAAAAAAATTATGATAAGGTATTTGAAAATGAATCTTGGTACCATTCAGGATCCTTGACACGGTCTGCATCAGCTTCTGGGTCCTTCAGCTGCCCCATCTCAACAGACTGAGCGGCCTGAATCTCCTGTTCAGTTCTTCGCCGCACAAACAGTGGTTTTCCTCGCCATTTGAAAGTTTTATTCGTACCAGGTGCGACATCTTCTTTATTAATCTGAAGAAAGGTACAAATTCATAATTGTCTTGAAAACCATTAAAACAACTATAATGAAAAAGTTCCTCTTGATATTGACTCTTAAACAAAACAAAAACTTGCTTCAATTTGGGCGAGTGCCAAAACGTCTGCTGCCGGAGACCACTGTTGAACGATTGGATGCACAATACTCTTGGCAATCATTGCGAGTCCCATCAAATAAGCTCCAGACACAGCAGCTTGCGCAGTGCGCCTTCCTTCTCCCCTATCAGTTGAGTGGGGATCCTGTGAAGAAGTTGTTCTGTATGCTGAGAAGTCAGGTGCTGTCATGTCATTATGAGCATATCGAACCGAGTATTCTAGATAAACAAGAGAAATTAGTGGACTAATATAAAAATGGATTTAGGACAGTCAAAAGGCTATAGAGAGTTCCCAGCTTTCAACAGTTTTTAGTTGATATCTAGGTTATTTTTTTTTTTCAATTCAGCAACAATGAAATTCTTTAATTTCGCATGATATAGTTGTTGTGCTTACTTGAGATGCCAAGTGTAACAGCAGGTTTCAAAACACTGGAGCTTGGTTTAGTAACGTTTGCTCCCGTTGCTGCTCCTGGAAGCCAATGTGAGGGGTGGACAAATTTCGTTTTATGAAGATGCTTAAACAGCCCAGAAAAATCAATCATTGCTTCGCCTTCTTTGTTGAGGCTTGTAGGTATCCCGATTCGAGCATTGCTGACAACCTTCAGAGACCGCTTGTTCGCCCCTTTCAGCATTTTCACTGAAACAATTAAATGAACATCTTGAGAAAAACCAAATAGTTTTTTTTAATTATTAAACAAAGATGCTAATCAGAGCTTCGCACCACTTCTGATACAACACAAACAAAAAACCAAAAGAAGAAAAAATCAAATGCTGAAAAAAACTAGGAGAAACAAAGTTTTCGTATCTCTTGATAAAAACAACTCAGGCCCAGCTAAAGCTGGAGGTATGAGTTTGATATTGAAATTTGTAACATTCGCCCGGAAGATACATATCGACGGATAACAAAACTAAGTCTTAAGACGACTGGCTAGCGTCTAAACAGAGCTTTGCATGTTTTTCACCGTCTCTACCAAGCCAGTACTTTTCGGTGGTCTTTCTTACATCAGGCTGACAAAAACGTTACTGTTCTCCGGCTTCGACCAGAACGCTCAAATTAACTGAATTACATGCGAAATTAGTGAGCTCATGGCTGGGTCTCTGTATCCCCAGACCACGAGGTCACTCCTAAAAACAGGGCTACTACTTATCATATTACTATTGTTTTTGTTCAGTAGATAAAAATCATCATCTCCATCGAAGATGGATCAACCCTTTCCCCCAACTCCTAGCACCTCATCCTTGTCAAAACTAATCAAAATATCAGTTAAATTCAAGTCAGGACATGACAGGATGCTAAAAGTTTATGTGAGTTAATAAAAGTTTCCGTCCCGAGACCCTTCCGGATTCTTGAATCCGCCGAATCAAGCTCCTTACTCTTGATTTCTTGCTAATCCGGAAGGCTGGTTCTCACCCTTCACCGTTGTTGGCAACGGCCTTGCAACTATTGTAGCAGCACAATAGTTGCAACTCGGAACGTTCTCTGCTATTCTGTAGTTTGTTGTCGTTCTCCAATCTCGATTTTCGTACTGTTCGCAATCGCAGATAAAGGTTGTTCTGTTTTTTTACTCGCTTTTTTGTTAAATGGCCGTTTCAGCATTTCTCAGAAACGTGACGTCATCATTCGAATTTTTGAAAATTTAAAATACTAGAATATTCTAGCCCTCACCGTTTGGCTAAACGTTCCAATAACGTCGCTAATCCTTCGAAATCATCAACTCGGAAGGCTTACTGCTCAAAATTCGAATCCTGCATAAATTGCATTTTGGCCATTCTGGTCGAATGTCACATACTCCCCGGACAGTCCGGTCAATGTCCTCATTGAATCGCGCAATGTTCATAAAATGGTTACAGTGTCATCGAACAGAATTTACAAAATGCACGAAATTACTTTTATCTACGTCACATCGACTCACTGCAGAATATAAATGGCATCATACTACATCACTATAGCCTTCAAATTCTTTCATTAATCTGCACATTGAGGATATGACTTAAGATAAAACATATTTTCTGACTTCCAGTGTCAATGTCCCGATTGAAACTTTTTCTCCTAGATTTAAAAGGTGTTGGCTTGCAGGACAGTCCTGCCAACCAACAAGCTAAAATTATCCTACTATGCTCCTTCCCTTCGGAAATCTTGCTTGTCCATTGTCCTGAGTATTAAAACTAAGAAACTTTGTGGTTAGAAAGAACAATGCAACAACCTCCCTCCTCAAGAAGTTACTCAAGTTTTTCATGTCACCACAAAGTTATCAGTCTTCCTAAGTGATTAAAAACAATCATGCAGGCTGGAATATTTAAATATACTCTTCCCTCAAGCCTTTCTAAATAAATAATAAGTGAGTGTCTCTAAAGCCACTTCAACTAAAACCAAAATGTAAATTTATAAATGCAACAATTCCAAAACTCAACTAAATGTTTCAGTTTTCAATTACAACTTGGTTGCTTGGTTTCTCACTTGAGTTTTTCACACACATAAAACAATTCTGAGTTTTAACTTTTCTTCATCATCCCTTTGTCTTCTTCTTTTTTCGTCGTTTAGAAGTTCTAAAACTTCTAAATTCTTCTAATTTTCTTTCTTGCTGCCTCTTGTTTTCTCGACCATTCGTCAATGCTCCATTTCCTCCTCCTGTGACACTGACTCCGCACTTTCGGTTTCCGTGTCTTGTAGCACGTCATTGACTATCCTGACGCTGTTGGAAGCCGTCCTCCAACACTTCTGCTCTTCCACCCTCTGCTTACAGCAAGGTAGGGGATCCACGTTTGATTCTCTGTTTCTACAGAAGCTGTTGTGGAGACACAACGTCACGTTTCTCTCCAAATCTTCTTTCAGCATCTCTGCCTTCTCATTTTTACTACGCTCGCTCGTCCTGGAAATTCTTTTCACAGCGGTGGTCACTGCATTCCGATGGGTCACGAAAGCTCGCTTGAAAGCTCCTGCCCCAATGTCCAGCTGATATTCACTGTATACTCTGCCATGCTTCGACATATGCTTTTTCGCATACTCGTACAACCATGCAGTCATGTTAGCTCTGAACCATGGCATCAATCGTTTTCTTGCCCATATCTTCTTCACTTCCATCGGAATGTTTAGAACTTTGCACATTGTCTCAAAAAGATCTAAATCTTTTAGACAATCTAATTTCCGTAATTGTTCTCTCGTCGGTGCCTCCTGTCTATTATTTTCTCTCACATGAGCTTCCAGCCATCGTATCGCCATCATAACTCCCACTATCACTATTGTTATGGGCTGTGATGAATCTGATAAACCCATGGAGAGCAGCTCTCCAGAGTCCCAGATCAACACCAAATTACTACGCTTGGGATACCACCAGGTCTGCAGCAAGCAGTGGCAAGGAAACTCGTCATGTGTCAACATGATGCTCCTCCAATTGCGTTTTCCTGAAGCTTCCAGCAATGGTTCCACTTCCATCATCACTCGGTGGATTTCATCATTCTCATCTACTGCATTATAATCTGTGACAGTTGATCCTCTCTGTTTCTGTTTTTCAAAGTCACTGAAGTTCCCGCTCACATATCCCATGAACTTCTTTCCTAGTATTGACTCCAACTCCTCTTTGGTTCTCTCTGGAACTGCTGAGAACATCTTACATAGTAACTCGTAAGACTTTTCAGACATTCTCGCCAATCTCACGCACTTTGGCACTGAGAAAGCTTGATCCACGATCGTTCTTGTACTCTTCACGTCCACAGCCACGAAATGTACAGGGTATCTGCTCTTGCACATTGGAGCCAACGTTGAACCCACCAAATATCGTGCTCCTGATGGTCTACAATAAGTTTCGCTGTGTCTGATGTTCATCTCCGTTTCGATTGCTTCCCTCCATTTTCCTATATACTTCTGCTCAGTCTGCAGAACTCCTGGGAATACTTCTACGCTGATGGCTGTGACCATCTCATGTTTTTGTTCTAGATTCAATAGTGACTCTAAAGAACCAAACATGCTGTAGAATCCTAGTGCTGTCACTAGATTCACATCGGTTCCTCCATGGCGATCTGCTATCAGTTCCGTTTCCGTTCTTGCTTTCATCACTACATTTCCAAACAATACTGTCAACTGCTTGTGTTGTTTCTCCAGGGTTTTCACGCAGTCTAGACTTCCACAAACGTGACCCTCTAGTCCACAGACTTCCGCCAGACAGCTACCAGGTTTGACCCAGTCTTCTGGTCCCCAGCCAGGCAACTCCACTCTATCTTCTCCGTTGCTCTTAGAGGCTGTTATCATCACATTATATATGATGTTGAGGTCGCGCAGGTTACAGTCCGCATTCAGTTCCCTCTGTATGTCCTGGGTCGCCCGTAATATTGAGTCAGCGTTGGGACTAGGACACCATGATGGCTTCATCAACTCCCACACTGCCATCAAACTCGTTCTCAGTAATTCATCTGAGAATCCCAACCCAAATTCCACTCTCTTGTCGGATTTTGGTACTGAAGGTGCAGTCACCTCTTCTTCCAAGACCAATCCCAATTTGGCCTGTGGATTGTTAACGCTCTTAGTCGTCACAATTCTGGACGTCCAGAACCTTAGTAACACCGCCTGCTCATAATCAAAGAAGCAATCACGTATGTCTTCACTCAGGAAAGGATTGTACGCTATCCCTATGATCCCGGATACATAGCTATATGACTTCTTCTTGATCGGTCCACATTATTCACTGGATTTCGGCAATGCTCCCATAGATTCTTTAGTGAGCCTCAACTCCTTGTTTGAGAATCTCCTGATCTCGTCTATCTTTTTCATGGGTTCCAATTCTTCAGGTTCTTTCATGTTCACCCTCATCGGTTTACTTTGCTGCATATCCAGCATTGCTAGTAAGAACATGGCTTTCGTTCGCTCATCGCCTTCCTTCAACATTTTAACACAAGTGCTTAATGCAGGTACTGAGATCTGCTCTATCAGGAATCGAATGAAACAGAGAGCGTCTCTCCGCTTTGCACACGCTACTGCTGCTCCCTCCTGGACTATCAGATCCCTCAGATTCGTCATAAGGAAAACTTTTTCCTCCTTTGATCTCTTCCTTTCTTCCGAATCATATTCTTCGTGAGTCAGTCCCATCATGCACCAGGCGAGCCTGAGTTGTAATTCTGTCCTTACGTAAGGTACTGCCACGAGAGCATGTATTCTTGGCGTAGTCCTCATTTCTTCTTCGAAATACCTCAATACTACTGCTTTCCATGGAAGGCTCACTAACTGCTCGATCGTCTCCGCCTCTACGTCAGACGACGCCAAAGTTCCATACGCCTTCTGCTTGAGGGTGGTGCCTTGCAACATCATTTCCAGATAACCCTCCATGGCTTTTTCGTCTTCCAGGGCCACTACATACCCTCTAGCCGAGTTCCGGTATTCCAACATCTCCATGTATCCACCGGTGGGTTCATCTATCGACACTGTCTCCGACACTGTTAGTCGGTTGTATTCCACTGGTGTCAGTTGTCCTGCAACACTCCCTTTTCCATGATTCATGGGAGATGGTTTGAAGTCCCTCATTTTACTCTCTCCACATTGACTGAGTATTTCCATTTCTAAAGTTGCTCCAGTCAGAGTTCGGTCACTCCTTTTGGATTTATAGCCGGTTGACTTTATCCCCGCGATGAGAATGGGTGGCACCA